CCGAACCTTATTTGAACTCAATCTCAATGCTTGGTTTCCCTCCTCTACCTCCTTAAGTTTTTGTAGTCTCTCCTGCTCTAAAGTCAAAGCATTTCTTGAGGCTCTAACCATGCTACCTACCATGAGATTGGCCCAAAAAGTTCCATATTAGATGAAATCCTGAAATCAAGTAAATTAGTACACCAAACACGAAAAGGCACATGAACAACTATCTTCTGAATAAAGAGAACTGAACAAAGAAAGGTTCAGGATAGAATGGACAAAGAAAATGTAAAGAGTTAGGAATTTTTAAGTATATAAATTTTTAACAAAAACAGAAAACCCATTATCACATTCATAATGAAAATCACCTGGTGATCTTGACACATTTGTTCCATCCAGAGCAGTTCCTTTAGCTTGTCCGACTGAGTTTACTGGTTTGGTGGTTGGTGCCCCAACAATAGTTTCTTGCGCTTGTACAGCATCAACCTTTTTTAAGTTTTCAGCGGCTTCCCTTTCAGCTACTTCTTTCATTGCCCGACTCTCAGCTTCTATAGCAGCTTTCATTGCCTCCTCAGCTTTAGCTTTTGCCTACATCAGTGTTTTTAGCTGTGTGAAATGCAGTAAAGTGCAACACTCCTTTGGGGCTAAAGTGCGAGGTGAAGAAAAACATCAAATACCTTTTTTCTTTTTTTTGTCAAGTACCAAGAAAAACGAAACTACATTTTTATATATGAATAAAAATAATATTATGAATAATATGAGAATGAAAATTTTAAGAAGTCAGATCTTTGATTAGAGATTGTGAAGAAAACGAACATTATTTAAGAAATTTTTAGTTCTTCCTTAAGATAAAAATAATAAATAATCAATAAATAAGTGGACTTTTGCACCCTTCAAAGGTGGGCTTTTCCAAAGAGCGCATCTGGCTACGCTATTCAAAACACTTGCGCAGTTAGGTCCTGTAACTATTTTGTTTCCTACCAGATGACTCAAAAAGTAAATGATGAAGGACCCAATGTCCACCAAACCTAAACCATTGGAAGGTGAAACTAACTCCCAGAAAAGATTGTCTAATCTAAAAACAGGATGGATTATTGATCAATAATCCTCATATTGAATCAAAGGAAAGTTGATAGAGATAGAACGACAATAGAATTGATTACAAGCTAGCAGCCCATGAAACAGTAGTTCAAATTTTCTATGAAAGCCATATGTACCGGTAAAGTGAACAACACAATCAAAAAAAAAGAAAAAAAGACAAAAAGAAGAACAAACAAACAAACAAACAACAAAAAATAATCATTTCCAAATAGTTGACAACAAACCTCAGCTTCTGCTTTAGCCTTTTCTATACGTTTTTTTTCTTCTAGCATGGCCTTCTCCTTTCTTTTGGCTTCCTCAAAAGCCGCATCACTTCTTATTTTTCGTTCTTCTCTTTGTGATATTTGTTCATGGTGACGCTGAACAGTAGTCAAGTACTTATCAAGGCCTTCAGCACTAAAAGTAGAGGAAAAGGATAAACACCAAGTAAGATTACAATGTTAGCACACAGTCATTCATAAGTGGCTAGGCAGAGAAAAGAAGCACAAAGAACTAATTACAACTTTTTAAAACTAAATATATATTGTAAAAAATGATTTTAAAAAATCTAGTTGGTTAGGTTCAAACATGAAGAAGCAAAAATTGAAAATTCAAGGTTGGCATGGTTCATACGAATTTTTTATTATCATTAGAAGTTTATGAAAAAGATTTACTAAACTTGACTTAAGAAAGATGACCAACAAAACTAATAGAAAAGCATACATCTCGCGTTGATATTGAGTATCAAGTCTCCGGTCAGCTTCTCGTCTTGCCTCATAGTATTTCTCAATTTGAGAGGCTGCAGCACTGGACTTTTCATTTAAAGTAGTGAGGTTGGTCTCCAACCTTCCAAGTTGGTTCCTGATTTCCTCCTGTTTATAAACTAATTTAGAAGAGCATTAGCAGAAGGGAAGATTAGCTAGATATCCATCCACTTTGTCTCTCGATGGTTGAAATCAAAAATTCTTCATAATTTCTAGTGTCTCATAAGTTTTAAGTCAGAGACGTCAGACTAAATGAGAATACAGCTATGACAACATCCAGATAGAAATAATATAATTAATGAGTTTTTTACCCAAAAAAATGCCAGTTTAACTAATTTCACATACATGTCTTCACAATATCTTAGATGATCCAATACAGTGTCTAAAACTCCAAGAAACAACTAGAGATAACAAACTAACTTTAAAAAGGGTAGGTAAAGACATGAGAGATGGACACAAAATGTCATGAAGAAATGAAATGTATGATGCATTCATATTTACATGCTAAACAATGTGTAGACGTCAATAAAAGAGAGAAATATAAATTATATACTCCCCTAAATACCTTCGTGTTAAGCAGATGATCATCTGTTAGCTGAGCTAAAGAACTTTCCACTAAATCCACGTCCTCCATCAGATGGGCTCGTGTTCCAAGAGTTGATTCATTGTCAGAATCTTCGCTATCGCTAAAAGGAAAGAAAAATATTAAAACTTCATGGCACAAAGCCAGATATGTAATAGTTCAGATCGAAATTCAGTAGCTTATAATAATAATCACATCACATGACAAAAAAGAGTCTAAAAACATGAACAGGCCCTCAAAAGTTAAACAAAACCAGGCAAAGCATATTTCCACTATTAATTTCTCATAGAAAAACATATGCGGGGAAGATTACGCATAAATATTCATTAAATAAAAGCAACTTAAACTTTAAAAGAAAAAATAAATAAAGTTGGAAGCGGCAACAGAATAAAATACCTGAGAAAACATCCATCACAATTAAAGCGCTTAGCATTTGAACCTTGGTCACAAACTACTTCACCATCGTTAAATATGTTCTGTAGCTCATCCTCATACACACCCATTACAAAAGGCTTGGAGCTTCTCTTCGTAGTTTTTATGAGTGGAAAGTCTCTATTGACATATAAACCACAAATTCTTCAACAAAGAAAACTAGAAGCATGCACAAATTCATTCGTTCTTTTCCAAATATAAAAAACTATGATACCGTGAACATGTTTTTGTGAAAGGAGTTGTGGACGTCTTTAGCTTCTCCTCCAAAGAATAAAGTTCCACTCGCAAATCATCAAAGCTAAAATCAGGCTGTGGATCAGCTGTAACTTGTCCTACCCTAGAAGGGCAGCGAAGGGTCAACTTCACCGGACTCCTGAAAACGAAACACAAACAAAAGAATAACACAAGTGATAATGAGGGTCCTGGATGTCGTTCAACGTGACAAAATAGCTAAGTTAAACTATGTTTGCCAAACATAAGCTAGTTTGAAATCATCTATAACAGGCATGTACACAAAGATACTACGTCTACAACGCAACCAAATGCCCGAATAATAGCTTCCAATTTTTGCCCTAACCATAGAATCAACTTGAAAACGTACAATTACCATATCAAAAATTGAATGTGAAAGAATGTAGAACTTACATGGCTTCAATAAGCAAACTTCGAATGCTTCAATGACCAAAAGGACGCCCCTGGCGGATCCGGGGCTGTGCAGAAGAGAAAAAGAATCAGTCCCAGGACAATCGGAACCGGAGGAGAAACAACTAGTCTGAAACTTCAGAGAGAGATATCGATTCGAGAATTTTTTTTTAAAAACATAGTTGAAATCAGCAATTCATCGGATCACGAGACAAAGAGCAGCTGTGTCTTCCTCTTGCACAATCGACGGAACAGCACCGCGGCTCACCGTCCAGCAAGAAGAGGTGCCGAAGAAGAAGGTTCAGAAAAGTGAAGAAGAGAACCCTCGCGACTAAAGACTTCACACTTCCATTTCCTAAATTACTTGAGTTCTTCCAAGTGATTTTTGTACGGGTAACCTAAAGTTTAAAGGCAAAGTGAAATGCGACGGCCCGTTCTTTTTAAAGCCAAGTATTTTGATTTATGTTGTTCTTCTGTTCTGAAGCGAGCAATCTTGAAGCACGTACCAGTGTCTCAAACAACTTCTTTTGAGTATGGAGTCTGTAAATGATATGACATGGACATGAGAGGGTTTAATGCCTCAATAGAGTCCAAACGGATAAATGTTCAGGATGTCCTGATATTATGAACGACACATGGAGCCATTCTCAATGGCATGACCAAGTAAGTTGTGATGGCCTACGACGACATCAACACATATGGGCAGTGTTAATTAGAAATTGAGATGAGGTCGAAATGCGACATTACATCGAGAGACCTCATCCCCAAGTCGAGACATGGTTGGGCCGGATGACTTGGCCTAATGTAGAGGCAAATCGGTTGTGTCGCATATGATCGAACATGCACATGGAGACGATGTGTGTGGCCAAATAAGTTTGGATTCCGCACAAGTGATATTTGGTTGGCAAAGACAAATCTCACTTAAGGTTCGACAATGCCACAAAGTTAGGCGAAAAATACATATGGAGCTTGAGTTTTTCTCAAGGTTGATCGTGAGCGTGTCAAGATCACAACACTGCATAATTGAAAATGTACGACCGTGACAGATGATAGTAGCTTATTACCATCTCTCGAAACATAGGATAAAGAAAAGATTTTTAATTTAGATTATAGATCAGTGAATTATAATAAATTCCTAATTGATGTGATTGATTCTATATGTGTTCTTTAAAACCATGATTTTACACCTTAGTTGATAAAAAAAATCATTTCATTAAGATTCAACTTAGTCCCATAAAACCTAAATTTGTAGCCAATTTCTTGTATACACTCAACTAACAGTTCCTTTGCCTTTCAAGCTTCACGTTGCTTCCCAGCCAGACAAGCCAAGCAACTATGAGAGGGAAACAAAGAGTGGCTTGAAAGAGTCCTGTAATTTATTGCATTGCCTTGGAAGTCCACCAAATGCTCAATAGGCCTGTACCTTTCAGACGCCTCGTCATCAAAGCTTCAGAAAAAACAACAAAAAGGGGCTTACAAGACTTCTCCAATTATAAAATAATCACACAGTAGTTGAATTCAAGATGGGGGAAGAAACTGGATAGGATCAAGACCGACGATGAAGGGGCTGGTCTTGTTGTGCTCTGTCGCCGCCCTGTGGCTTCAGGCGGCAGTGGGGCTGCCGTTGCACACCGATTCACGGTGGATCGTGGACGAACAAGGGCAGAGAGTGAAACTAAGATGCGTAAATTGGGTGTCGCATTTGGAAGCGGTGGTGGCGGAGGGGCTTTCGAAGCAGCCCATCGACGAGATTACAAACCGTATTGGGTTATTAGGATTCAACTGCGTGAGGCTCACTTGGCCACTGTTTTTAGCCACAAACGAGTCTTTGAGTTCCCTCACCGTCCGGCAATCATTCCAGCGGCTGGGTCTGAGGGAAGCCATCGCCGGAATCCAAGCCAATAACCCCTTCATCATCGATCTTCCGCTCATAAAGGCTTTTGAGGTAAATCGTAAATGGGATTCTCTGTAAATGTTTGGATAGGTGAATTAGGGGTTTGATTTTGAAATTGGCTTGCAGGCGGTGGTGGGGAGGTTGGGGGAGGCGGAGTTGATGGTGGTATTGGACAATCACATCAGCAAGCCAGGGTGGTGCTGCAGCAACTTCGACGGAAATGGGTTCTTTGGGGATCAGTACTTCAACCCGGAGAAGTGGATCGAGGGGCTCACTAGAATGGCTACCATGTTTAACGGCGTGGCCCATGTTGTTGGTATGAGCCTTAGGAATGAGCTTCGTGGCCCAAAGCAGAATGTCAACGATTGGTACAGGTACAATACACTTCGAATTTGATTTTTAAATATATATAGCTTATAATATCAATTATCTAAATTTGATTTTTAGGGTCGAAATTAGATAAAAATATGTTTATCAGTAAGGGTATTCCTGTCATTCCAGAATCTGGCTAATCCAAATTATTGATTAGATTAGAGTTGGGTTAGATTTTTTTTTAGGTTCGGTTGAATCTTTTGAAAACTAAAATAATTAGGTTAGTTTGCTTGCTGGGTCGACGTATTTTTTTTGTCACCTTAATCAAACCAACCCGAAAGTAAGGGTACAACTTAATCCAACTCAACTCTAGTTTTAAAATTATTATAAAGATTAAGAATATTTAACCTTCGTAATCGATTTGATATGAGATTTTAGATATTAATATAATATGCATGGTAGATAAATAGAGTTTTTTAAATAATTAAAAGAAAAAATTGACTACTCAATCTAACTCAACCCAACTTGAATTGAGTTGTGAACTTTATTCGAGTTCCTTGAGTCACCAATTCCTTGACCAATCTAAAATTTTAGATTGGTTTAAAAGATTTTCTCAACTCAACCCGTGTATGTCTTTATTTATTAGACATTGCTAATATTTAAATTAGAAGTTTAGTAGTTGATTTCATGTGCCTATTTAGTCTTTAAACTTTCAAAATTACCCTTTAATTCCTAAACTTTTGATTTTTTTTTTTAAATTTAATTCACAAAAACTATCGGACATTATTGAAAATTTAGGATTCCAATCTTTTTATATTTAATACATCAATTAAATATTTTAAATTTATCTAAATACAAAACAGAAAGTTTAGAAATTTAGTAGACAATATTAATACCCAGTAGGAACAAATCTCAAAATTTAGACACTAAACTTGTAATTTAGTTTTTTTTTTTTTAATTTAGAAATGAAATTAGAAACAAAGATAAACTGGAGAGTAAAAGGAATGGGTTTGTACTAAAATCATATGAACACAAGATTTGATCATAATTTCATATGAATGTGATGAACCAATGTTGTTGGAAGGTACATGCAAAGAGGGGCGGAGGCAGTTCACGCAGCAAACCCAGACGTTCTTGTAATTCTCTCAGGACTTAGCTTCGACAAGGACTTATCTTTTCTCAAAACCCAACCCATAAACCTCACATTCACAGCCAAATTAGTGTACGAGGTTCATTGGTATGCATTTTCCGACGGCTCCTCATGGCAATCAGGCAACCCAAATCAAGTCTGCGGAAGAGTAGTCAACAACTTAATGAAAATGTCCGGATTTCTCTTAGAACAGGGGATGCCTCTGTTTCTGACCGAATTCGGAGTCGACCAAAGAGGCACCAACGTCAACGACAACAGGTATCTAAGCTGCTTCCTGAGCGTCGCAGCCGAGTACGACCTCGATTGGGCGGTGTGGACGCTCGTTGGAAGCTACTATTTGAGAGAAGGGGTTGTTGGGTTGAACGAGTTCTACGGGTTGCTTGATTGGAATTGGTGTAATCCTAGAAATTCTAGCTTCCTCCAAAGGATCTCCGCCCTGCAGACACCCTTCCAAGGCCCAGGACTAGCCGAAAGAAGGCCTTACAGTGTCATGTTCCACCCATCAACTGGGCTATGCGTGGGGAGGAAGTCGCTATTGGACCCACTAAGATTAGGCCCATGCGCCGATTCAGATCCTTGGTACTACACGCCGCAGAAGTTTTTAACTCTCAAAGGCACGTACTTTTGCATACAAGCGCAGGACATGGGGAAGCAGCCGAGATTGGGGATAATATGTACTGTCTCAAATGCTCAATGGGATATGGTTTCTGATTCAAAGATGCATCTTTCTTCGAAACTCGACGATGGATCCGTGGTTTGCTTGGACGTTGACCCAAGTAGTAATGAAATTGTCACCAATGCTTGTAAATGCTTGAGTCGGGACTCGTCGTGTAACCCGAGTAGCCAATGGTTCAAGCTCGTTAATAGTACTAGAAGCTTGGGCGCGGCAAGGTCGATGATTAGTATGGTGGGTTCTTCTTTGTCGTCCAATCTTGTGCCTAAGTTGTTTGTGCAGTAATTGTTAAGGCTAAATTAAAGAGAAAAAAAACATGCCCCCATGCAGGATCGAACTACAGACCTTCAGTTTACAAGACTGACGCTCTACCACTGAGCTATAGGGGCTGTTGATGTAAATCAAGATTTGAAATTATTACATGCAATTTCATGGATACGTGTCAATTATTATTGAATTATACTCATATTGGCGGATACCATCTACCTTGAAAAGCAGAATTCTAATGGGTTAAATAAACGAACGGTTTATCTTATAATATTCAAAGTCATAGAGAATAACGAAGAAAATTCAATTTGGAAAAAGAAAACTAAAGGGTACGACTGAAGTATACGGATTTGTTTAATAAGGCTAAATTTCTAAATTTAGAACGACACGACAATTCAACGAAAGCAACGGGTATATGAATCCAAAGAAAAAGAGACAAATGAATGATGAAGTCGAGAATAGGGTACATTGGAAGCCCCACCACTTTGACATATATATATTCCATTCACAGCCAACTTGAGTTCCTTTCCGGCAAATAAGAAGAAAAACTACCAAATTTCCACAGGATATGAAGAACACAGGCTGGTTTTTGTAGAGGGCATTTGGAACACACCCAAGACGCCTGCTTTTTATCCTTCTATCTTTATCTTTTGTGCTTTCATGAAGTTTGGCGCCACTAAGCATGGATAATTATTGAGTTCCATACCTTATACCATTATGGTTCGTGGTCCATAATCTTACCTTTTCTACTAGTGCTAGTGGGTGTGAATAGTGCACGGTAGATATCACTCCAAAATATCCATTTCTTCGTATCAAGTGGGATGAACATGAGGCTCTAAACTTCTAGACTACATAATTCAATCACAAATCAAGATGGTTGGATCCTTTTTGATTCTCTATAACCAAGAATGTGGCTTGAAATTTCTCGACAATGCAAGAGGTGGACCCTCGTTTGAATTGAGTGTATAACATTTTTCCTGTGATATGACCATATTAGAATTTCTTTAGGTAAGATGTGGTTCAGAGACGAAGGTGGAAGTTGGTGGATATATATTACATGAGAAAGAGAGGGTTATATGAATAACCAATCCTACCGGATTACGAGGATATGAAGTAAGAAATGCTTAAAATAATTCAAAGTTAATATCTATATCAACCAAGATGTGTCTTTTTTATTTTTTTATGGTTCAACTATAAGAACTTCAAAGTAAAGCGTGCTTGTTTTGGAACAATTGTAGGTTGGGTGACCTCCTAAGTGTTTTCGTGGGAAGCACAAGAGTAAAGACAAAATCTCTAATAATAATCTTAAAAGGGCTTGTGTTGGTTTGTAATAATAATGTTCACTTTTAGAACCCGTTTAAGACAAGTAGATAACATGGTCATGTCCTATGGTTATGGTGGGATCATCAAGTGTTGGATTCAGATTTCAAATCTTATGAAACGTTACATTTCTCGTCCACCCTTTATTAACTGGTACTTGTGTGGAGTGCAACACCCTTTGTCTTGAATACTATCACAAACTAACACAAGTCATTTTAGCGTGTTTTATCCTCACTCACATGCATCTTAGAACAAAGTCTTAGTTTATTCATTTACCTCTCTTTTACTCATATGTCACATACCCACTAGCTTCAGTCTAAACTACATCTTACAAGAGAAGTACCACTCTAATACCATTCGTAGACAAAAAAAATTTGGATCAAGTTTCAAATTTGAGTTCTAAATCCTGAACATGAATTGTTACGTGGATCGAGTGCACTAGCTGAGCAAAATCAAATTTGAAACTCTTACCTTACCCAACAATCGAGACAACCCGTTGATCACGACGACTATACGAGGGTCCGAGCTAGATCACGCATCCATTTTGAACATCATAAAGAAATTTGAGAATTCACGAAAATAGAATAAGAAAGTGATGAGAAATTTGAAGGTGTTTGAGCAAGTGGGCAAGTTGGGGGAGCTACCACTAAGGGCTTTTCTTGTTTTCATATTATTTTAATGGGTGGGTGTTGGTCGATCCGAGTTTTCCTAGTCAGAGACAGACAACGAAATAGATTTTTGATTAATTTCATAATATCAGGAAGCTTCTAGTACCAATATTTCATGTCCTTTAAAGCTTATATAATCTCGTTTAATTCCACTTAACTTACTAATTGTTTGACCCAACTGGATCGGTTCCCTCCTTTAATTAGTCAACCACATTTGTTTACTCCAACTTGGTTCTATATAGTCAACTCTCTCTTAACCTCTTAATTATTTAATTAATTCTATTGCTTCTTCTAATTATTTACGAATAATTCATAACCCATCATCCATATACAATGCACGAACATGTTATCGAAAAATTGTATAAATATTTGAATATGCACTTAAATCTATTCATTTTATATGTTTTCTTCGTAACCAATAATTATAGTTTAAGAAGTTCATTCACGAGTGTACGTGGGTTAGGTTTGATTGAAAATTAGGTTAATCGATTTGGTGATCCAAGCAACCTGAACTGAAGTGCTCGACTTCTAACTTTTGCTTACTTTAAGATAGAAGACATCGATTCTCTTTGTATAGTTAGTTTAGCTCACAACCGTTCGAGTTCGGATCTCACTAGCAGCATCAATTAATTAATTGAAGAGTGAAACATGGATGAAGAAAGCTTTTTTATTGATATGTAGATATCCATTAAAAAATATTCTTCTTTTTTATACGCGCATGGTGGATTGAAACTTAGATAGTCAGAAGCTTGCCTACAACCCACATCGGGTGGCTTGGAAATTCGGTACAAGGTATTATGGTAGAGAGCTCTTATCCTTCCAATTGGATTGTAAGCTTTTTAGATTGTCGGAGCTGCAAAGTTACCCAAACTTCCAATTCTTCTTACATACGTATGGCTTGAATCTAATCTAAGTGGTGATTTTCTTCGTGGGGGATTTGTGGAAGCCCCTGCTTAGGTTAGGAGTCACCTTAGCAATCTGCTTTCTGATTACTTTCTAAGGATACTGAGTGTTTCGTGTTTTATTCTTTTATCAAAGAATCCACAAAGAAGAGACCACCGTGAAATATGCATCCATATGGCTTGGTTGGTTGGGTTATGAGGTTTTTTTTTTTTTATAATTATTTTAAAAAATACTACTTATTAGTTTAGTAACTAAATCTCGTTCAAATATCACAAATCATAATTCATCACTAACATTGATTACAAACGTCAAATATTCTTAATCTTCATAATAATTTTAAAAGTATGGTTAGATTGTAACTCTATTTTCGAGTTGGTTAGGTTAACCCAACAAATAATATATCAACTCAAATTTAAAATTTCCAAAAATTAAACAAAAATATAAATAAATCTAACCCTCCAACTTTCATGTTTTGTTTTGAGTTGGATAGTTCAGGTTGGTCGAGTTCTCAGATCATAAGAACGCCTCTAATTAAATCCTGGACGATGAGTTCAATGATTCTCGTATTAAGTGAAAATTGATATTAATTTGAAATTATGAACACACAATTTTTTATTTGATAATTTGAATATGTATACATACATATATATATATATGTATATGTGTGTGTGAGGCATGCAAGGTCAGGGAAGCATGTGGGCCAAGATTGATAATTAAATAACAAAATAGCTTTTAAGCTTCCTCGGTGATGTTAATTAACAATTAATTAACTAATTAAGCTCACCAATCAATGCCAGATGCTCCACAGTCCAACCAAAATATTTAACTACATGGGATACATAAATGGTGAGAGCTACACGACAAAATCCACTTTCTTCGAGAAGAGATTAGTTATTAATTACCATTATTAATTCATCATTTAATTATTTAATTACCTTTAACTTCTTAGATAACCTCAATCAACCCCAAAGTTGCCAAAACATATAATTTTAACTCTTATAAATAATTGTAATATAATGAAATAAATATTTAAAAAATTAAAAATTACTATTTATGAAGCGGCGGCCAGCTAGAAGGCAATTGGAATTTTTTTTTTCTTTTTTGTCTTTTTTCTATCAAACCCAAAAAAGTCTTTCACCATCCAACTCATATGGATATTATCTTTGCTTCTACACCTTTCTTTTTATATATGTATATATATATATATATATACCAACTTGCTTGCTTATACAATATGATATATATTGAGCCCTCAATTTTATAATAATATATATACATGTCAATAACTCAACGAGTGAGTATTAACGTTCACTTTATCACCAGAATTATAGAGATCATGTTTCTTATTTATATGTTCATGATCTTCCTTTTAATTAATGAACGTGGGATTGTTCCTCTGCTGAGAGATGAAAATGACGCTAAGAAATTAAATTAAGAAATAAATCCTTATTAATTACATGTTAAAAGAAGTTACACAGCCACCCTTGATAATATAAACATGCAAAAATAGGAAAATTTTTAGAACAATAAAATAATAAAAAGAACAAATTTGTTCCTAATCCATTATCTGCAATTCATAATATTCGAATTGGGCGAAAATGAGAGTTTCCAGGATTTTAGCTCTCCGTCCAGGCTTCCGCTGCACACTGATACGACGCCGTCCGACTCCCCTTCCGATACCACCACCAGCGATTTCACCGGTTTTTTATGACCTTCCAGTACTGACAAGCAGTTAAAACTACCATCTGCTCCACGTTGCCACACCCTCACCGTCCGATCCGCGGATCCACTCAACAACAAATCCCACACGTAGATCAAACACAGAATCGCGTTTCTGTGACCTCTTAATGCGCCGATCACCGCCATGTGGTTCGCACTGTCTTCTCTTTCCCAAACCAGAACGGACCGATCACAAGCCCCCGAGAAAAGCAATGAACCGTCGTCGTTTAGCGCCAATGCATTCACTGCCGATTTGTGCTTCTCTAATGTCGCCACCAGTACATGACGTTTCTCCGTCTCCGGTTTCGTCCATACTCGGATTTTTCTATCGGCTGAACCGGTGTACACAGTCCCCCCGGCGGAAACAGCCACCGTGTTGATGGCGTCCTCGTGCGCTGCTTTCACGGACTCGACACAGCGGTGTTTAGAGCCTTGCCAGACTTTCAAACTCCGATCCCAAGAAACAGAGTAAACAGAGTCACCGTTGACGGCGAGTCCGGTAACGGCGTCAGCGTGTTGAATCCAGAGAACCTTTTTGTGACGACGGACGTTGACGTAA